GGGACCTCCATCAGGAATGCTGGTGGGGGGGGCACTTCTCCTCCCACCCTGTCTACACACAGCCACAAGAGTTTGAGTGGGGCGGAGAGAGGAAGTCTGATTGTTGCCTTGTCTCCTTCAAAATCCTTCTCACACTTCAGTTATCATCTTGTCCTGCAGAGGCCAGAACAGATGCACTCCGCAGGCCCCGAAATGATAAATGGCTCAGCGGGAGGGCGCCGTAGGGTGCAGGCGATTCCACTTCCAGCCTTCCCCAGGCCAAGCCTCCGTGTTCCAGCAGCTCTGGAGAAGCAAAGATTCCTGTAGATGATGATAGATGGGTGGGCAGTGATGTGGCCTAGGCTCGCCCCTCCCGCCGGCTAATATTTCATCCCCTCTGGGACCCGCCACGAAGCGCACTAGTTTGGGATGACCAGCTCTTGGCAGTGAGGATGTGACGGTCTCCACCCGCCGCTGGCACGGGAGGGGGCTGGCTGCCTCTACCCTCTCAAATGCCAGGACCTACTGTGTGCAGAGCCCTGGGCTGGTGCAGACAGATGTCACCTCTGTCCTGTCTGATGACAATCTCAGCAGCCAGCAGGGGGTGCGGCAGATGGTATGGTGCTTAGAGCAGCCTGGGGGGCAGGGAGGAGGGGGTGGGAGGAGGAGGAGTCCATTTGACTGTCAACAGTGCCTGAGCCAGCCCTCCCAGCCCCAGGAGGCTCCCTTCCCACCCCGAGCTGCCCACCACCCACACCATGCTCCAGAAGGGTGGGTGCCGGTGACAGGCGACACATTTACTGCAACTCACCAGTCCCCTGACTTTCAGTAAAGGCCAGTGTACACCTCAGAAAGTAGCCCCCACTTACACTCATCACTCTGGCAAAGCCTCAAGAAGGAGCTGTGCTACCTATAAGCAGAGGAGCAGGGAGGGGGCTTGCCTACTGAGCTGGTGGGATGCCCAGGGGTGTCAGTCTTTTGGAAAAGCAAGCTGGAACAGTGGCATAACATCAGTGACCGCACACACCCGGCCCATTAGGCACACCGGTAGTACACCCAGAGTCCCTCCCATAGAAACAGCAGCGCCAGCGCCCAAGGAAGCAGCAGAGGGCTCCTCGCAGGCCCACGTGGCTGCAGGGCTGTCTGCCGCCACCAGCACCGGAGACAGAGTGAATGCCGTGAATGGGGAGGCGCAGAAACGACCCGCCATGTGTTAGGGCAGGGATGTGGGTCTGTGTACAGGTTTGTGGATTGTGTATGTGTACATGGGCATGTGTGGACGAGGATGGGTGTGCGTGGGTGTGTTTGTGTGGACGGGGCGTGGGTGTGTGTGCTGGTGGGGCTGTGTGGGTGCAGGTTTGGATGGCATGTGTTTACGTGACCGTGTGGGGTGTGGAGGGGTAGCTCTGTGGTGTCCGTGAGTGTGGGGTGTGCATGAAGACACGTGGGGAGAGACCATCGCAGAATGACAGGGGGGGCCTCAGAGCGCGGGTCTCCAGAAGGCCTGGCATCTCCAAACTGTGGTGGATTTGTCCAGTTCTTTGTGTTGAGCATGTATTTAAGTAATATGAAAAGCCATTTTTGTCCTGGAAAAGAAAGGTTGAGGTGGAGGCAGAGACACCGACGGCCCCCAGGGCAGCCTGTGCACCACGAGGCACGGCCAGTTCATACACGTTGGGTTCAGCTGAGCTGCGCCAGCAACCCGCGCCCCGCCTCTGCTTGTGGGGCCCATGGGTGGTGCCGGAGTCAAGGTGCTGCGTGAACTGGCATTTTTGCTGGTGTGGACATGTGTTCATTCCTCTATCAGACAAAGAAATTGAGGCTCAGAGAGGCCAGCTGGAGGCTCAGGGTTGCAGAGCAGACTTGGCGGGTCTGGTGGGCTTGAGAGCAGAGCCCACCCTTCCTGCCTCCCCTAGTAAGTAAGGGGGCGATCCTGGGGCCTCCACACCACTCCCTGATGCTCCCTCAGTTTCTCATTGGTCGGTCCATGGGATGGAAAACTGCTGTCCTGCTCTGCCCCCATGCACCTGCACATCTGAGCCTGAGGCACCTTCCAGTCTTCTGGGACTCCCCCACCTCTCTTCCACGTCCTCTACCCTCCTTCCACAGCTGGGCAGCCTCCGTGCACCCCAAGCCTCTGTTAGCTTCTGTGAAGGGCCAGACATCTCTGACCATCTCCAAGTTACCTCTTTGGTGACTTTTGAATTCTTCCATTCCATTTTTTTTTTCAAGGAGAGCAGCAGACATTTTAAAAAATTAATACTTGCACTTGATACAAAATGCAAACCACGAAGCTTTGAACAGTGCAGAGGGCAACGGTCATCCCATCTCTGTCTCTAGCACGTGGTTCTGCTTCAGGGAGGGTCTCACATCCCTGTCCACTGACAGCCATGGCCCAGGGCCTATAGGAGCCTAGGAGTGCTGGTGCCTCAGAGCCACAGGAATGGATTCTCTCATAATCCTGGAAGCCAAAATCAAGATGTGGGCAGGGCGAGGCTCTCGCTGAAGCTCTAGGGAAAGATGAGGCCCAGACCTCTCTCGAACCTCTGGAGGGTCCCTGGCTGTGGCAGCATCGTCCCCACCTCCGCCTCCATCTTCCCACAGCCATCTCCCTGGGTGCATGTCTGTGTCCACGTTCCCCCTTGTTACAAGGACACCAGTCATGTGGGATCAGAGCCCACCCATCTCCAGCGTGACCGCATCTGAACTAATTACATCCGCAACGGGGCGGCCCCATCACACGTGCCCCCCAGTCTTTCTCCCAGCCACGTAACCCGCCAGCGTGAGGGTGAGGTGCGGATCACCAGTGGCTGGTCCACAGGGAGGTGTTTCCACTGTTTGTAATTACAAATCCTGCTGTGGGGAATGACCTGGGGCTGGAGGGGGGCATCATCAGGCCCCGAAAGTCCCGGATTCTGTGAGCTTTCCCCGGAGCCAGGCTCAGGTGGGAAGTGGCAGCCAAACCTGCTGAAACCTCTGACTTCCGCCTGCCTCCGATGCGGCAAGGGGGGGGGTTGTTCCCGGTCCACCTCCCACAGCCCTCCCAAGCCCTATCCCACGGAAAGGATTGCTAAGCCTGGACTTTTGCTCCAGACTTAACCAGGGCTGCCTGTGCCAAACATTTCCCCAGCTCGTGCTCTCTGCTGCAAGGAAGTCCTGTTAGGTCACGGCATCCATTCCAAGACCAATAGGGCTGAGGGTCTAGACTGGTGGGGCTCCTGTGCTGGCTGCGGTTTCCAGAAACTTCCCTCTGGCTCCTCAGGAAAAGGCTGCCCCAGCCCCGTGCTCCAGCCTGTTCCTCCAACCCCAAGTCACTTCCAATCAAGGTCACAGGCAGCCTGAGCCGGCTGCGGGTCCCCGTGATGTGGAGAACTCAGAGCACAAATCTGTGCTCCATTGTGGAAACCAAAAGACACCCACCTCAAGGCACCCTCCATATTAAAACCAGGTATCCCCACACCCGAAGCCTTAAAGTGACCGCAGCGTCGAGTATCTTCCGGAGACCGGGAGAGGCCGGCATCCAGCGGGCTGTGGCTCAGTGAGAGGCCAGGCTACCTCTGCTGCCTGATTGTGCCATCACACCTCTGAAAGTCATCCTCAGAGCATCCATCCTCCAGGCGGTTAGATGTGACTGTCTCTCTCCAGCCACCACAGCCACTCCCACGGGGCCTCGCAAGTCCATTTCCAGAGGAAGAATTGGCGCTCTCGACAGTGAATGGTGCTATCTTCCTGCTGCTTCCACAGCAGAGCTGGGACCCAAACTCACGAATGTCTACCTTTGTATGTGGGGCTCTGAGAAGAGGGCCCCCAAAGTCACTCTACCCGCAGGTGTGCTGGGGCCTGCCACGCACTGTGAGCTCGGGGGCGGGGGGGGGGGGGTGGTGTTGGGGAACAAAGCGGTCTGCGGAAGGAGGGAGGTCCTGGGTGAGGAGGCGGGCCATGTTCTCTGCCCAGTTCCATCCATTGTTGCCTATGTTTGAAAGTTATCAAAATGGAAGGAAAGAGGTCAGTCCCGCATTGAATGGAGGGGTCCCTGCAGCAGTAAGAGCCCCTGGCCAGGCCCAGGTCTGCTGCACCCTATCAGGCAGTGCAGGGGTGAGCAGAGGGTGAGGGAGCCCAGCTCAGCGGCCCTTGCACAGGGCAGGTGCTGGGGTCAGGCCCCGGGGTTGGGGGAGGAGCAGCCCCGTGGGCACAGCGTCCCCTCCCAGGGGCGGCTTTGTTGGGGCCGCCGTCCCTGCAGAGGGGCCAGGCGTTGTCGCATCTGCCTCCCAGGCCGGCTGTGGGCAGGTGGAGGGGACCCTTCCCAGGGACTCCAGTGTGGGAGGTGGCTTCTCAGCTCGCTGGCCCAGTGGCCCCAGGCTCCAGGGGCGTCGCCAGGCTGCAGGGAGCCAGGCTTGAGGGACGTGCACTTGAGACTGTGTCCGGGCTGGGCCCTCCTTGGGAGAACAGCACCCCTGGCCCCCACAGCTCCTTGGGACAAGGGGTGAGTGGGGCGGGGGGAGGAAGAAGGCTGAACCTGGTCGCTGCCAAACCCGTGCCACCAAGAATGCCGAGGTCAACACCTTCCCCTCTCCCTCGTTCTATCCCCTCCCCATGCCACCTCCCCTTCTGCCCGAGGCTCCTGCACACTCTCCCTCCCTTCCCTCTCTCCCTCCATCTTCCTACCTCCTCTCCCTTCCCCTCCATTTCTCCTCGCACTCCTTCTTCACCTTCCCATCCCCTCTTCCTCCCTCCTCCCATCTCCCCCTCCTCCTCAGGCCCAGTCCTTCCCTCTCTTTTTGCCTCCTTTTCCCCTTTTCTTCTCCCTCTCCTCTTCCCTCTCCCCTCCTCTCCCTTATCCTCCGCTCTCTGCCTGCTGGTCCACCAGCCTTTGGGTGTGGTGCTTTATGAAAATTCTTTTCTTTCTGGTTTCTAAAGGGAGACTTTCACAGGGAAGGAATGGCTAGACCCCCAGAAGGCAGCAACAATACGTTTTGAACATTTTGGTCTTTTTCAGAGCATTTGGTCTGTTTCAGCACGTGCGGAAGCCTTGTCTATGAGGTGATCTGCTCTCCCCACATCCCGGCCCAGAAAGGTGGGCATTCCTGCCACTCCCACTCTGCAGCGGGGTACACCAAGGTCCCTCAAGGGCAGTGACTTGCTCACACCTTAGTGGGCCAGCGGCTGAGCTGGAGTGAGGCGCCCTAGTTCCCATCCACACCTCCACAGCTGCAAGGACAGTTCCTGCTGGCTGCGACGTGGGGCTCAGACTAAAACAAGTCAATGAGAATGTCCTGAGACTGTACTGCTCCCCAGGCCTGAGCGTGAGGGGCCAAAGGGAGAGGAGACGACACAGACGGGCTCAACAGCCAAGGGTTGCCTGCGGCCTGCCCTCCACACCCACCGACAGCGGGTCTGGCCCCACAGACAGCGGAGCTGGGCCTCAGCTTGCCCCTGCCTTCAGGGGGCAGCATCGCTTGTCCCTGGACTGTGTTGAGACCCTCCACTTGCACCTTCTCATCCCCCGTCCATCTTGCATACGTTTGGCGTTCAGATGACTCTTCCTAGGTGTTGTGAAACAGATCTTCCTAGGGCCCAGCTGTAACCTTGCTTTCCCAGCTCAACAACCTTCAGTGGCTCCTCATTGCTTTGCAAATTAAGAACTGAACGGTCTTCTTCAGCTCAGCACACAGGGCTGCTGAATAACCAGAATCCAGTCCATCATTTCCCCTCCTTCCCGGCAGCTGCCTCATCGAAACCCAGCCCTCTGCCTTCCCAACGCGCTCAGCAGGCACCCTCTCAGCAGGCAGGGCCCCATCACCCCAGACAGCCAGCTTTCCCTTTGTACCCGTCACAGCATCACGTGTATAAAAGTCAGGTGAGACCAAGTGCTGGTGAAGGTGTGGGGAAACAGAAATACAGACAGCACTTGTGGAGCATGATTCTGAAGCTCTTCGCGAAGGTGAGTCTGTGTAAATGCCCAGCATTTCCATTCTTGGGCATTCTTCCCCAGAAAAACTCAGGCTCCTACAGGAAGATAGACCCGTCTGTTCATTCCAATGTTAATTGCAAAGGCGGAGAGTCGGAAACAGCCTACAGGGGAGGAAGCTGCCGGTGGCTGGACTTTCCTGAATGAATGCAAGGGTATTTCTCACTGTTCAGTGTGACAATGGGCTTCCACATTCTTCCTGCTGAGGTGGGTCCCTGTCCCGTACCTTGAACCTTGATGGGAGCTGTGACTGCTCCAGTCAGTGAGTATAGTAGAGAGTTCTCTTCTCTTCTCTCTCTTTTTCTCTCGGTCTCCCACCTCTTCCACTTGTCCTGGGAACTGGTGCTGTGAGGAGGCCCAGGTCACGTAGGGATGCCCCAAGCAGGGGTCCCAGAGTGCACAGCCAGCATCAGCTTTTGGATTAATGAGCGCAGGGGCCTTGATGAGAGTCCACCGCCCCAACCCCGGCTTTGAGTCTTCCAGAGGAGACCCAGATTTCAGGAATAGGAGGAGTCGTTGCTGACCTGTGGCGAGCATTGAATCCATGGCTGTTTCGCACCAGGAACGTTTGGGGAAGCACGTGCTGGAAGCAGAACAGCGGCATGGAGCCTGCAGAGAGCTGAGGGTGGAGATGAGTGTGGCTGCCCGGGCTGCTGTGCTGTTGACCTCATACGCTTTCAAAATGGCAAGCAGTGCAGGTGTGAAATGTGACACTGTTTCTACCAATGAAGACAGAGCAGGTACGTGGGGCAGCACAGGTGAGATCAGGACAGGAAGGATTGGAATGAGGAATGAAAGGAGGAAGAAAATCAGGTAAAACTGATTTAAAATGGATGTTCTCTTAAACTTCCAAAAGAGTTGATTAAAAGGAAAGAAAACATGCAGCAGCGGCCGTGGTCTGCCCTCCCCCCCCTTCTGCGGATTATCCCCACTCACTCCTCAGCTCTGATTCCCGGGACATCTCTTGCTGCCAGCCCCCATTGAGGCACTGGGACACCGGTAAGGAAGGCTTAGGCCCTGCCAGGCAGCTCCCTGTCCAGTTGAGAAGGGCACTGGGGTCCCTGGAGGGTGTTTACTGGGGGTTCCAAGGTGGTTCAGGGTACAGGGAAGAGGAGGCACAGCAGGCGCAGGAGTGGAGGGGGCCTGGGGACAAAGTGGACAGAGAGGTGGCGGGCTTGGTGGTGGACTGCCTGCAAGGAAGGATGGCTGTGGGTTGGAGGCAAGGGGGGTGCCCCCAAAGAGACCGGAAGGCGACAACCTATTCACTTGGAGAGGCTTTGCTTTTCTGGATGGGGGATTCCTTCTGTCCCCAAATCCTGACATGCCCAGCGGTGACCAGAAATCTCGGACCTCAGTCCTGGGAAGGCCAGAAACCTCAGTTGAAGGCTGCGGCTTCCCGGGGTCAGCCCCAGAGGGCGAGGAGCGCGCAAGGCGACCTCCCCCTGCCTTGCCGAGACTGTCCTTGGGCTGTGAACTGCCGACCGCTCTGACCTGCGGCGCATCGAAACGCGTTAAGCCGCTAAGGCAGCGATTCCCGCTTGCGCCTCTGCCAGCAATTCTATCTCCAAGCTGGGCCTCGCCAGTCACCTGGACGCAGGGCTTCCCTCCTGACCGACCCCGCCAACCGCACCGAGCACAGAGGCACTGGCCTGGGCGAGTTCGCGCATCCCGGTCCGACCCTGCGCCTTAGCGTCAGCGATCTGCCCAATTGCCTACACCCGCGCCGCGCGGCCCAGGCTTCGCCGCTGCAGTTGTCGGGAAAGTCGCTGGGACCCGGCGTGGGAGGCTCAGAGTGTGGACTCGCCAGCCTCTGCCCGGTGCCTGGCAGCCGCGCTCCCCGCAACCCGACGGCCGGTGCCAGGGGAAAAAGGCGCGCTGTCCTCGCTTCGGGTCCACCGCCCCGCTTCGCCCCCAGCCCAGGCCCGGCGCGGCGGCGAGTGGAAACGCCGTTCTCACGCGCGCCCCCCAGAGGCAGTGGGAAGACACCCGCGAGTGCCCTGCGCCTGGGAGTGCCCAGCCTCTACTCCCAACAGCCTGGAACCGTCAGGGACGCGTATCCTCGGCAGTTACAGGATCAGAGACCCGAGGCGCCTCCTCCAGGGCCACACAACCCTGGAGCGGAGAGAATTAGAACTCAGACTCAGAGGAAGCCCGCCAGACCTGAGGGAGATAAACTGAACTGCCCCCAACCTGGACAGGCGCGTGGCAGGACTGGCAGGAGTGGTCCAGGGGCCACTCACAGGCCCTAGGGAGCTTGCGAGAATTGGAGGGCCATCGGACAAGCACTCCTCCGCTTTGTCTTTTTATCTGGCCCTTCTTCTGGCCTCAATTTCCTTATCTGTCAAAAGCGCCCTCGGGTAGATGGTGTCTGCCCCAGGGCTAGTGCTCCAAACGAATCCCGCGCTCTTTCCCAATTTCCTTGGCCCAGCCCCCTCTGGCTGGGGTACTTCTACTCCCTGGAGTGTCTCTGGCCCTGGACACCTCAGGGAGCGCGGCTTGGGAGACCTCAGCTTCCCCCTAAGATCCCAACTCGCTCCACTTTGGCTTAGTGGCCTCATGCACAAAATGAGGAGAGGAGCCCCCATCTGTGTGGCTGCCTCCAGGCTAAACAATCTGGGGAGTCTCTGTCATCGATTATTTTTGCCCCTCCTGGGCTAGGATGCCAGGAGATGGGCTGAGACTCTTGTCCTAGACTCCCCGGAAAAGTCCTCCTACCCGAGGTCGCGGCAGCCACTGAGCACTAGGTCCTTTCTGGCAGCCGCCAGAAAGCGCATCCAGGACCCGCTCCCAAGAGCTGCAACCGTTTTGTCTCTGCTAACCCCAGCCGCTCTCGGAGCACCGCCGCCCCACCAATCCGCCAGACTCCGGGGCATCGGTGCGGGGCGGACCCGGAACTCCAGGCTTTCCGGAGCCGGGCTCACCTACCCTCCGGGGGAGTCTCTCCTATTTTCTCTCGTCAGTTTTCTCCGCTGAAAAATGGGGGTGATGCTCCCTCCACCGTGCTTGTTTGGAAGAATGAAGCAAAGCGGAAGCCCCAGGCCTGCGGTTACCTCCGGGAACGCGGGCGGTACCCGGATGGTCGGGAGCCCGGGGCTGGCCCTAGGAGGATGGATGTATCGCTTGGAAATAACCCGCATCGGGTGAAGCTGGCTCCACCCGCGCGTCCGCGCAGCGATCTCTTCTAGGTAAGCCCGAAGTTTACCCCGGAGCGGAGACAGCTCCAGGGTGCGTTCTGTTCCGAACTTCCCCCTGCAGAAATGGGAGGAACTCCCCACCCCTTTAGAGCGAAGAAACGGAGCCAAGGACGAGGGATGGGGCCTGCCCCGGAGACCTCCGCCCAGGGCAGAGGCTGGGCCGGAAGCTCCCACCCCCTTCGAAGGCCCGGGCTACCCGGGAGCGGCCGGTGGCGGAGCGGGCGCGGTGAGGACCGGCGTGACGTGGAGCGGGCTGCCCGCGGAGCCCCGCGGTTGGACTTCCTTCCTTACTGGTCCTGAGCCCGGGAACTGGAGAGTTCTACCGAACTACATTTGGCACTGAAACCATCTTTGATGAAGTGCGAATATTCAGCCATGCCACGTTTTCGCGGTCGTGTTTGGGCAGTGTTCCCATTTTTAAATGACACGCGGGGTCTAATAAAAATATGTGGCCCAGCCTCCTGCAGTTTCTTGGGAGCCCCGGGGTCTCCAGGCCCCTACACACACGCACAGCCATTCACACGCACACTCGTGCACACACCACGCGCGCGCGCACAGTTACTCGCGCTTGGTCCAACACCCTCCTCGCGGCGGGGTAATTACGACTCCGCCGAACGGTGATTGGCCAGCCCGTTCCTCAGCGGGGCCCCACAGCCAATGGACGGCCGCTCAGCCCAGGCCCCGCCCCCCCCGGAGCGGGTGGCGCGGGCCGGGGAACCGATCACGCGGGGCCGGACCCGGAGCGACACCCACCCCGCCCTGAGCCCGGGGCCACCCGCCCTCGGCTGCGCCGCCGCCCGCGCGCTCAGGTCGGGGCAGCGTCTCCCGGCAGCGGCCGCACTCGGGGTCCGCGCTGCGTCCTCGGGGCTCGGCGGGCCGCGCCCCCCGCCCCTGCTGGCCCCTCCCCCTCCCCGCCCCCAGTGAGGCCGCCCGGGCGGCGACCGGGACCGCGACCTGAAAGGCGAGCCAGGCGGCTGCCCGATCGGCTGTCGGCGCGCACTCGCTCCTGCCCAGCCCAGCCCGGAGGCCGCCGCCTGCCCCGCGGGGCCCGACGCCAGCGCTCCGGGCAGCGGCTCCGGGGTCGGCCCGCGCGTGCGCCGGGAGCCGCGCGCCACCATCCCCAGCGGGGACCGGGGTCGGTCGCGCCCGGGCGACCCGGAGGAGCCCGGCCGAGCCCGAGCAGCCCGCGGCCGCGATGCCTGACGAGCTGACGGAGCCCGGGCGCGCCACGCCGGCCCGCGCCTCCTCCTTCCTCATCGAGAACCTGCTGGCGGCCGAGGCCAAGGGCGCGGGGGCGCGCAGCGCAGGGCGACGGCGGCCGGGAGGACGAGGAGGAAGACGGCGACGACCCGGAGGATGAGGACGCGGAGAAGGCGCGGCGGCGACGGCTACAGCGGCGGCGACAGTTGCTCGCGGGCACCGGGCCCGGCGGCGAGGCGCGGGCCCGGGCGTTGCTCCGGCCGGGCGCGCTGGGCCTTGGTCCCCGGCCGCCCCCGGTCCTGGGCCGCCCTTCGCTCTGGGCTGCGGAGGCGCAGCGCGCTGGTACCCACGGGCGCACGGCGGCTACGGAGGTGGCCTCAGTCCTGACAGTGAGTGAGGGCGCGGGGAGGGTGGGCCAGGCGGCGGGGCCCGACTTCCTCCCCGCTCGTTGGCTCGGGGACTTCGGACTCGTCGCCGCCGGTTCTGGGCCATCTTCTCCCTTCTGTGGAACGGCGTCTGGGCTGTGTGGGGCCCCCACGGAGTCACTTGCTGGGCGGGTTTTGAGGCCCACTCTCTGGGGCAGGAGCTCTGCTAGAGAGGAGGCCTTGCAGGCCATAGCTTCACTCACCACCGGCTCCTCAGGTTCCAGGGAGGCTGGGGACAGGGGACAACAGGCGGCCAAAGAAGAGTAAGGAGAGTGGAAGAGGACAGGGAAAGATACAGGAGAAGGTGAAAGAGGCTGAGAAAGAGAATGGGAGGATGGAGGAAGAAAGGAATGTGCTTCAGGAGGGAGAATGAGGGGAAAGGGAAGATGCTGGAGAAAGAACAGAAGGAGTGATCCCGGAGAGAAAAGATATGGAGGGAAAGGGAGACACAATAGCTCAGACAGGGAAAAACAAACGGGGCATTGCGCAGAGGGCCCGCTGTTGTGGGGGTGGGCCCGGGGAGGGGAACCTTCTAACACAAGAGCTGTGACCCCCAAAGTCCTGTTCCTCTGTGCCCACCGCAGACAGCCTGGGACAGGGGTCTGGGCCTCCCTCTTGGCCCTCGGTGGGGGTGGGGGGGACATGGGCTGTGCCAGGCAAGAAGGGAGCCTGTTCTGAAGCCCCCAGTCCAACCCCTCTCTTCTTTTTCTGCCCCTCCCCCTCCCTGCCTTTGTTCACTGCTGAGGGCTCCAGACTGGGGCTGGGGGTTTCTCAGCCCGCAGAACCCATCTGCCCCCTTGCTTGGGTATCTGACCCCTGAGTTCTGCTTCCCCTCCCCAGGGTCGCTGCCCCCTTTGGACCTCCCCTTTAGGAAGACCTCTAGGAGGAAGGCCAGGAAAGCCAGTCTAAGTCCCCCAGCCCCAGCTTTGCCAGACCCCCCACCCCCAACACAGCCTTCCGACCTTGGGGCCAGCTGAGGACGTGATCCCTCTGCAGCCGCTGGCTCTGGGATCCGTTCTGTTCTCAGTGTGAGTATCAGTGTGTGCTGGGGAGTAAGTGGCCTCCGACCCCCACTCACTCGGTAGGTAACCATTTCCCTGACGTGGAGTGACCCCCTTGCAAAAGGACCCACATCTTGGTGCCCAGACTCAGGAAGTCCAGGCCCCCACCCCCTTCCCGTAGACTGGAGAAGAACCTCCCTGGTTTCCCAGAAATCAAGCGACTCCATGTAGTGCCCTTCTGGGGGAGATTCTGGAAAGCGTTTCTCAGGGTGAAATTTGTTCTTTGCTCTTCCCTGGGGCGCATCCCCTCCTGCAGCCCAGGTGGCACCCATCCCTGCAGAGGCAGAGCCTGCTTATTTCGTGCCATGCGGGTTAGGGTCCCACTTCCTCACCTGGCAAGCCAGCCTGGTGCCGTATGGCAACGTGTGGGCCCCTTTGAGTTTGGGGCCCCTTTGAGTTTGGGGTATTGGATGGAGGCAGGGACTCCCCAGATCTAGTAGCAGGCACCACAACCTGCCACCTGACTCCTCTGTGGGCACCGCGAGGGCACACGCCATGGGGACTGGCTATGTAATGAGTGGGACACGCACTCCTTGGGCACCAGGCACAGAGCTGGAGCCATGCACAGCAGCTCAGCAGTGTATATACCCCTTGCATGAGCGTGCGAACGCGGCAGTTACTTTGCAAGCACACACCAGCCGAGTGCACAGCCTTCTGAGGGCCCAGGGCCAGGCCAGACTCTGCTTCGACCTCCGACCTGTCAGCCAGGGCCTGCCTGTTACATGAGAGCTTCAGACCGAGGCAGAAAAGCAGCGGGTCCAAGTCAGCCTCGGGAACCTGGCAATAGGAGGGCTGCCCTCTTCAATCTGGGCAAGGGTTCCTGGGTCCCCGCTGGTATCTTTAACCTGACATTGTCCCTTGCCAGCCCTGTGGGCCTCCTCTTTTGCTGGGAGATGAGCAGGGGAGCTTGGTACTGGGAACATGAACTCAGACACTCCCTGGGAGCTTCTATACCCCCAAACCCATGAGGCTGCCCCTCCAGTCTAGAAGGTGTTTGAGGAAGGCTCATGCTGCATGATGCTTGGAGTGGCATGTGCCCGTGTTCCCTCTGAGCATGACTGTGGCTGGTGTGGACTTGCCTTGTGGGCACTGGGGCAGGGTACAAGGTATGTGGTGTGGGGTGTGGCCTCAGCCGACAGTTCTCTTTCAGGGATCCTTTGCTTTGGTTTGTCCTCCTGCTACGGAATGCTTCTGTGCAAGAGGCAGGGGCGCGGGAAGAGGCCCAAGAACTCTTCATTCCTCCATCTGGAGGGCTGGGTGCCAGGTGGCGGGGGTGTCCTGTGCTCGTTTTTCGGTGTGTCCCTCTTTCCTCCTGTCCCGGGCTTCCGTGGGTGTTTCTCTGGCCGCCCGCGGTGCAGCTGGGAGTAGGGAGTGCTCTCTGGGCGCAGCCTGCTTCTCCGCGAAGCATTTTCGTTTCTTTTCTTTGCTCTGCATCTCTTTATTGCCCGCTGGCCTGGGCGTGCGTTTGCGCGTGTGAGTGTTGCCAGCTGTTGCTTTGGAGCCGCCTCCGATGATTCCGCCTCTGTCCGCATCCCCAGAGCTGCTGGGTGCCCAGCCGAGTGCTGGAGGGTCTCCCTGCTGGTGGCTGTGAGCGACCTCAAGGTGGGGACGGCTGGCCTCAGTGATTGAGTCTGGATATCGGCTCCCTAGAACCAACGGTGGTGCCCCTCTCTCCCCTGCAGCCAGCGACCGGGACTCACCCGAGACAGGCGAGGAGATGGGCCGTGCTGAGGGCGCCTGGCCGCGAGGCCCCGGGCCAGGAGCGGTGCAGCGGGAGGCGGCGGAGCTGGCGGCGCGGGCCCCGGCGGTCGGCGTGGAGGAGGCGGCGGAGCTGGCTGAGGTCCCTGCGGCGGCCGGGGAGACACGCGGTGGCGTTGGCGTGGGCGGCGGCCGAAAAAAGAAGACGCGCACTGTCTTCTCCCGCAGCCAGGTCTTCCAGCTCGAGTCCACCTTCGACCTGAAGCGCTACCTGAGCAGCGCTGAGCGCGCTGGCCTGGCCGCCTCCCTGCAGCTCACCGAGACGCAGGTCAAGATCTGGTTCCAGAACCGCCGCAACAAGTGGAAGAGGCAGCTGGCGGCCGAGCTGGAGGCGGCTAGCCTGTCCCCGCCGGGAGCGCAGCGCCTGGTCCGAGTGCCGGTGCTCTACCACGAGAGTCCCCCGGCCGCGGCCGCCGCCGGGCCCCCGGCCACGCTGCCCTTCCCGCTGGCGCCCGCCGCTCCCGCGCCGCCCCCGCCGCTGCTCGGCTTCTCTGGGGCCCTCGCCTACCCGCTGGCCGCCTTCCCGGCCGCCGCCTCCGTGCCCTTTCTGCGGGCGCAGATGCCAGGACTGGTGTGAGCCCCGCCTGCCGGGCCCTCTCCCCGTGGCCCCCATGGACCTCTGTGGACGTGCGATCCGGTGGCAGCCACAGGGCGCAAGCGGCGTTAGGGGAGGGATGGCCGCTCCTGCGGCCTCCCGGGCACCTCGGGAGCGCGGGCCGCAGCCGGACGGGCCTCAGCCCCTGTGGGGAGCGCCTCTAGAATGTAACGGGATGCCCCACCCAGTTGCCAGTCTGGATCCACCCTCGAACAGGGGGTAATGCAGAGAATGGACGGCACAGCCCTCGGCTCCATGGCCTCCCCGAGCCTCAGCGAGGCTCACGGCCACGGGGGCAGCTACCCCTAGGACAAGTCCAGCGCAGCAAAGGAAAACTACGAATCGGCTGTCAAGGCTGCGCAGATACTGTCCCCACAGACTGCCCCCAACACTAAACGTCCCTTTCCTGGGACCCAGACAGCAGGCCAACCGGAGGGCCGAGCCACCCCTCCCGCGGGCGCCGGTGGAGAAATTACCCTGGACCTGTGGTCCCCACGTCCGGTCCGTGAGCAGGCAGGCTCCCTCCAGGCGCGAGGCCTCCAGGCTGTTGTTGTTTTTTAAAAAATGAATCTACTTATTTGCGTATGGAATAAAAAGGGACATTTTCTGGACAGTTTCACTGCTTTGTGATCATGGGGGCAGGGACCCTTCAGGCTGCGGTGGGTGACGTCCCTCCCTCCCTGGAGCACCTTTCAGTGGTACTGACTGGGGACACCTGGGGCCCAGGGATGGGCCGGTGCAGATCTGAGTCGGAGGTGGTGAGCTGTGCCCCGTCTTCTATGACCCCCACAGAGAAGGGACGGGGAAGGGTCGCCCTGGCAGCAGGGAGGAGGATGGGGTGTCCGAAGTTCGAGGGCCTTCCCTGAAACTGAAGGCAGGAGCAGGTGAAGGCTGAGGCCGCTGAATGGCCACTGGCATTTGTCTCAGGGGCTCCAGCTGTGTGGTGCCCACGTGCACAGCCCTTTCCTATCTCATATGGAATTTTTCTTTGGGCCAAAACAAACCCGTGGCACTCAAGGTCAGGCCACTGTGCTCTTGCCTCTGGCCTTCCTCCCGGCCTGCAGTCTCTGGTCGGCTGGGGAACTCGGGCAAAGCTGTTCACCGCTGGTGATGATGGGCTGTGAAGGAGAGCTGGTGCCCCTCTTGGACCACTGGGGCCACCCCACCTCCGTCAGCCCCAAGCCGGCTGCTTTTGGGTGAAGCCAGCCCTGCCCTGGGTGGGGGAGGGACGTTTGGTGTGTGTTGGAGCCTAGGGGAAAGGCGGTGTTCCGGCTTGAAAAGGTCACTTTCATGGCCCAATTTTGTCCCTATGAAAACCCGTCTCCCTCTGGCTCCTTCACTTGCGAGCAGATATTCCCCGGGTGAGCTGGGCAGCAGCTGGGCCACACGCTGGGCCTGAGGCCAGCAAGGTAGCGCCAGACGGCCAAGGGGACAGTGGGCGCTGCGGGTCTGGGCTCAGTGCATCTGTTTGTTTGTCTCTGCCATCCAGCTCCTGACCCAGAATCGAGTCCTCCAAGTCCCGGCCCCTGCCCCGGCCCATCGGTTGGTTTCTTAATGTGAGGCCGGCTTCCAGCAAACCCTCTGGGCCTCCTTCAGCCTCTGGGCCCTCAGGCCCACCCCTATGGGTTCCCAGGCCCTATGGTGTGACGGTGTGGGCATTTTGAGAGACTCGTAGAGGGGGCAGCCATCCTTGGCCTCACAGCAGCCCCCCCCATCCCAGTCCCCACCCTGCAGGCTTATGGCTGCCTGGACCCCTCCTGCCCTTCCAAGGCTTAGGTCTGGCTCCCTCCCTGCTTTGGGGCTGCCCCCCAACTGCTTTCCTGGCTAACCCAGGAATTCAGTTCTCACTGGGATTTATCTGGGAGGGACTCAGGTTAGGCCTCAATAAAACTAAATGAATGCTCCCGGTTGGCAGCCTTGAGGGGCAGGGAGTGTCCTAAGAGGCCCTTCGTGGTCACTCAAGCACAACCCCCCTGCCCCTTCCCACTCCTCTCCCCACTGGGCCCTCTAGGCCTCGTGCCCCTGACTCAGGCTCCTGGGACCCTCACCCTCTGGGCTTCTGTCGCTTTTGTGCTGGCCTCACCCAGTCACCGGACACATCACTGCAAGTCCTGGGAAGAGACCAGGGCACAGCCAGCGACACCGTGGAGCCTGCAAGCCCTGCACAGGCCAGTGAGCAGAAGCAGCAGCCTCTGCCTCTCCTTTTAAGGTCCAGGCACTGCACGCTGTGGCACTGCCTTGGCCTTCCCAAAGGCAATGAATGCTGCTTGGGACTGGCAGGGTCTCAGGGACTAGCACCGGGAGGATGCCTGCCTCCTCGGCCCTGTTAGAATGGGATCGTTGAAGCTCCGGCTAAAGAGGTTATCACTGGGAGGCAGCTGTTTTATTGGACTGCTTCTGGCCGAGGTGGGTGCAATCCCAAGGTCTCATGGTGACTGCTGGGCGCCTCTGAGTGCAGTGGTGGCGCCAAGGTCCCAGGGTGAGTCCCCTTATGGGCGGATCAGTCACGGGCGGCCATAACAACTGCGGGAGTCATCTGACTCCCGGCCACCAGGAAGCAGGAAGGCTGAGGGCTGTATGGGCACTGGTTTTAGATCATCCACTCTGGCTGCTGGGGAAACCATGGAACTGGTCACCGGGCTAGTCTCGGCCGCTGGCATTGGAGGGGCAGGGTCTGCACAGTTCAAATGCAGGGCAGATTCCAAGAGCGCGGATGTGTCTTTCGATAGAATTAGTTAAAAATCGGGGTGGAGAGCATTTTATGGGCCTCTGCTCAGGGCTTGCCCTGGTGGGAAGGAGGCCGCCGGTGTGGGAGGAGGGGACCATTCCCGAGCTCAGGGAAGGGCCCGGGCCTGGAATACTGTAAGAGAGAAAGCAGATCTCAAGCTGGATTATGTCACTGGGCCCAGGGAAGCCGGCCCTGCCCTGTTATCCGTGGGGCTCTGTCATGTTGGGGCTGGCACCGGAAGGCAGAATAATCCAGAGAGAAGCAGTGTAGGACTCGGAGCCCCCGGAGCCCTGGAGGGCGCATGGGACCAGGGTGGGCATATGCCTGGCCCCCCGAGCCCTGAGCTCCAACACCATCGATTGCGGGTGCACCTTGGCGCGTCGGCTCCGCTGCTGGCAGAAGATGAATGGCTTCGATCTGTCTCCACCACATGCGCCATGTGCCCTCCCCCTCACCTCACCCTTCTGCACCTGAGGCCGGACTCCAGCCACCCTGAGCTGCTCAGGGCTTCCAGGTGCACAGCTGCGAGCACGGCGGGGTGCAGCAGGCTCTGGACATCCTGGACACATGCCTTTGCTGGACCCAGTCCAGCCTCCCCATGACCACAGTCATGCCCCTTCTCTTCTCCAGGCCTCGGTCTCCCCATCACCATCACACGCCTATGGTGAGGACTGGGGTCTGCAATTTGTAAATGTTGGGCCTTCTGTGATTTGAGTGAGGCCAGCAGGGTACCCCAGGCCAGCAGGACCTCTCCCCCCAGCTCCCAAGGCCCACACTGTGGTAGGACTGGTACGTGACCCACCTCCTCTGGGCCTTTCAGTGCTCTGGGACTACAAGAGCTGAATGCCCCTGGAGCTGGCCTGAGGGGTGGGAAATCAAGTCCCCCATCCCCCCAGAGTTGGATATCTGGAACCTCCGAAGGTGGATCCCACGCCTGGAGCACCAGGAAAGGCCACTCAGGTGGTGCTTGGCATGGAGGATGTGCTGTCTGGGCATAAGGGTCCTGTCGGGAGCTGACGATCAGGCAGAGATTCCCAGCCTAGCTCAAACTCCACAGGGATGGGAGCTGCCCGATTTCCCCCAGGTGGTTGCACTGCCTTGGGACACTCCAGGCCCTTGGCTGAGAGAGCAGGCAGCAACAGGGCTCTGTCCTCCCTGCTTCCTCCAAAGCCGCAGTGAGGGACAGACATATGCCCAGGCACTGCCCTTGCAGCTGCTAATTCCCCTCTGCGCTCCACCCAGCTTGGCCTTTGCACTTCTCAGTGCCCACCGACTCCCATTCAGTCAGAAGCACCCTGAGAAGATCCTTCTCATCAGGTGCAGGGGAGGGGTGCCCAGTGCCCTCACCCAGCTGCCGTGCAGGGAGGTTTCCCAGAGCCTTGGCTCTGACCCCACCCCGAAGGCAACACATCTGGGCTGAGGCCGAAGGCACTGGACCAAGGTGGGGTGAGCTGCCCCAGGGAGGCAGGGGAGAGGCCGGGCGGGCTTCTCTTTCCCTTTCTATATGTAGGAGCCTCTCCCACAAGAGTCTTTCCTGACCTTCTGCCCCACCTTGCAACTTGTCGGAAAGGGAAACCGAGGTTCTGAGAGGGGCAGGGTGGCACTGAGGCTCCCCGTCGCCGTCCTCCACCCGCCGGAGGGAGGCCAGCAGGCTTGACCTGCGCCCGTGCTGCTGCTGCTCCTCCCCGCCTGTCCACTCATATGCTTCATACCCTTTGGCCACCCTGCCCCTCTGGTAGCCAGAGCGGGCATGCCTGTCAAGGGTCCCGCTGGGAAGTGGTCCCAGCCGCTGCAAATACGTTCCCTAGAAGTGTCTCCTGGATCCCTCTATCCCCATGTAAAGGCGAATCACCCAGTGAACGACTGCCCTGGAGGGAAACAGAGAGGTGAACACCCCTTCACAGGTGGGCGGGAGAGGGACAGCCCTCTCCTCACAGAGCTAAGCTCTTCGTGTACCGGAAGGACACACAGGACAAAGGCGCAGAGACGGGGCGAGAACCTTGAAGTGGTGGACGAGCCAGCATCACCGCCGGCGGAGCCTACTGCTCTCGCCGGGTTCTGCAGCTGCGGGGCTCGGTTTTCATTTATTTTATTTATTTTTTGAGACGGAGTTTCGCTCTTGCTACCCAGGCTGGAGTGCAATGGCGCGATCTCGGCTCACCGCAACCTCCGCCTCCTGGGTTCAGGCAATTCTCCTGCCTCAGCCTCCTGAGTAGCTGGGATTACAGGCGCGCACCACCGTGCCCAGATAATTTTTTGTATTTTTAGTAGAGACGGGGTTTCACCATGTTGACCAGGATGGTCTCGACCTGTTGACCTCGTGATCCATCCACCTCGGCCTCCCAAAGTGCTGGGATTACAGGCTTGAGCCCGGCCCGGCCCGGTTTTTATTTTTTTATTATAAAACTAATAGCGCTTGTTATTCTCTGGACATTGCAGTCAAGTTCACATGTTAATATGTCTGCACTTCCAGCATCAAAAGCCAACTGCCTTTGAGTGCTGGGTCAGGCCGTGGATTTACTGGATTATGATTGATGCCGTATTGTTATTTTTTAAAAAGTTCTTATCAGTGAAAATGCATTTATGTATTCACCGGTGAAAATGTGACTGTTTGCTTTACAGTAAGGCAACAAAAAATAGGTTAGCAAAGTTAGAAGGAGGTGAATAGAGGAAACTAGACGAGTCAGGCGTTCAGAGCTGCGGGATGGGGGGTATATGGGAGTTCACTTGAAGGCTCCCTCGATTTTGTTCTATATTTGAAATTTTCCATAATAAAATGCTTTAAAAAGTGACTACTAGGAAAACTTAGGAGCGTGTGCCCCCAGCGCCGAATCTCTGCCGGGGGCTGTTTTGGCTGCAGGTTTATTCCGCCCAGTCGGGGTCTCACTGGTCCAGCTTGCACTCTGCTTTTAACTTGTTTTTGCTTAGCTAGAATGTTCGCATTTACACCCATTAATGTGGTCTCTATAGAATGGTTTCAGTCTTAACCCTTCCTCTTTTCCACGCAGCCTTCCCGGCCTCCGCCCTTTCTCCACTGGTCCCCGTGTCCCCTGCAGGTTCTGTGACCCAGGCACCTGCACCGGGGCGTCATAAGGCCTCAGACCACACCAAGGACGGATCAGGGAGGACGGACAAGGGCTGAAGGATGGTTGGCGCCGCCTCCAGGCTCCCGGCCCGAGTCACCCACGCGGACGCGGTTCCGACTTCACTGCAGGGTTTGGGAGGTTGCGCGCAGCGGCCGTCTCTGGGTCCCGGGTGCGTGCCTTTGGTTTCCCGGAGCTTGCCTGAAGCACTCGGCATGTTTGGTCTGCAGCGCCCGACCCACGCGAAAGGTGCGCCCCGCCTGGCAAGAGGTTGGCCGCCCAGATCCCGGGGCTCTGAGGGTCCAGAGAGCGCCGTGGAGTGGCACGAAGGCCCCTGAAACCGCGGCGCCCCAGGCCAGAGCTGCGGGCCTCCCTGGGTCTCGCTAACCGCCCGGGAGGGCTCCTGGCCAACACTCCTGAAACGCAGCCCTCGGCCGTGCGTCCGGGGCTTCTCCTGCGCGGCCCCGAGGTCCCCTTCGCCGCTCGTCTCCAGACACTCCTCTGCTCGTCCCTCCTCTCCGCGCTCCAGGATCCCGCCCGCGCGTGCGTCTGCCCTGCTGACAGCGGCTCCCGCGTGGTTCCATATTCCCCTCTCGCGGGCGTGGTTCTCCCCACTTCGGACTGGCCCGAGTCGGGGAGACGGAGGACGTTTATTTCTTTGCGGAGAGGCTCCTCGGCATAGGCCGCGGGAAGCGTGGATTCCACGGCGCCGCGGACCTCTGATCCCCACCCTCCAGCCCTTTCCGCGCCCGGCGTCCTCCGATCCGGCAGAGGGAAGTTGGCGCCGCAGCTTCTCGTTCGGGCCCTGCCTGCCCAGCTGAGGCCCTTGAGCCAGGCTCATTCCGGCTGGGCAAGCGCTTCCCAGCAGATAGAGGAGGGTAGCGGCTCCCCGGCCCGCGGGGCTGCCCGAGCTAGATGGAGCAGAAGCCCGTCAGTGGCGCCAGCTCCGCTGTACCCGGGACCCCGCGGACGCGGCGTGGCCCCTCCTCTTCCCCGTCTCCCGCCGCCCGGCGTCGGCGCGCAGCACCCAGGCCGCCCGGGCCCTTCCCAGCGCCCGGCCCTCCGGGACGCCCCGCCCCCTCCTCGCGGTTCCGGCCCCGCCCCCGCCCTCCTCGCCGGCGCCCGCGCCCCCGCCCCCGCCAGCCCCCGCCAGGCTCACCTGGTGTCTCTCTGGCGTCTGGAAGTCTGGCTCAGCCTTCGGCCCCGCCCCTCGGTTCTCACCTCGCCCCTGCTAGCTCCCCTAACCGACCCCTTCTCCCGAGGGCTCTGCGCGGCGGATCCGTCCGGTCTCCCCACCGCCATCCCTAGAAGGGCGCTGAGCTCGGGGCGGGCAGGGTCTGGGGCTGCGGAGAGGGGAGGCGTCTGACCCGCCCGGGCCTCGGAAGGCTTCTGGAAAGAAGCGTTGTTAAGCTCAAGATTGGAGCAGAGCGAAGCCCGAGGCGCGCAGGTGGAGACTGGGCGGGCGGCCATGTGTCTAGGTCCGTGGAGGAGGACGCAGGGCTCTCTGCGGCCTGGCCTCTTCGGCCGAGCTCCTCCCTCCCCAGTGTTCCGTCTGGAAGGGATAGATCCCTGGACAGTGTAGTGCCTTCAACTGGCCCGCTGTGCGGCTTTGGGAAAGTCACTTCACCTCTCTGAGCTCGTCTCGCCCATCTATGGAGTGGTCATCGTAGCAGGGGTGTAGGAGGCACGATGTAATGACGGGAGCGCGGGTTGGTGGCTTGCTGCTGTGTACACAGCCTACCGCGTTCCCGCTCAGCACCCACCCACCACGACCTGGAGCACCTCCGAGGCGCGCAACGCACGGGCTGGTCCCTGCTGGTGCCCCTGCCCCTGCAGTATATCGATCGGGCCCAGCGGTCTTGGCTCGGGGCACTGGAAAGGTCAAGGGATGCCCCCACTTCCACTCAGTGCGCAGTCATGCTCTCACTCGGGCTCTAGGGCAGCCACGGCGCGCGCATCTGGGGGTGTCCAGGCACCGGGGCCCGGCAGGCCTGCGCACGGGTGCGCAACGGCGCTCCACGAACTGGGCTGCGCTTCTGATGTGGTCCCTGCTGTCACCACCGCCATAGGCCCCTTCGGGGCTCCGCCCGTTGCCTCCTCCCTATTGGGGACCTAAACCCTCTACTCCCACAACCGGCAGTTGCGTGTCCTGGCTCCCAACCACACGGTTAGTCGCGGGAATTGGGTATCCAGAGGTGGACACAGACCCAGGCCCAGAACCTTGGACCACTGCCCGCTCCTGCTCCGGAGTGGCAAGTGGCCCTTTCGGCCTCCGCTGGAAGCTTGCTTTGGGTCGGGAGCTGATCAGCGCTTTACCCGCCTTGTTCCACGGTATTCCTACGCTGATGAAGGGGGGGGGGGCGGAGATGTCCCCATTCGGATCCTAGGGCGACTCCACACCACATAGACCACGCACGTGGGCAGGGAAGGCAGATGCTCTGTCCCCATCTCTCCAGTGGGGGAAATGACAGGGCAAGGAGGTGAGGAGGCTGAACCCAGCCCATCCCCTGCTCTGGGTGAGTGGGGGAGGTTGTCAGCTTTGGTGGGCTCGCCCCCTCCCCATTTCTTCAAACCTCCACTCCCTCTTCCAGCTGCCTCTCCACACGAGGGTCTCAGAGGCAGTACCCCTGTGCCCCCAGAAAGCTGCACCTCAGAAGGCCGCATACTGTGGAGTGCCTTTTATTTTGTTGGAATTTTCTAAGTCCGCGGGCCTTATCTGGGACTGGGATGGAAACTCAGCCCAGCTCAGACCTGTGTGGCCAGGGTTCTAGGAGGGCTGTCAGTCGGGACTGGAGAAATTGTGCGAACGGGATGATGATGACATGCTGAATTTGGGGTGACTAAAACTATTTATATAGACAGGAGTCCCCCATATTTGTCTGAGGTTCTTAACATCCTTTGGGTGGCCCTGTCAAGAGGTGTGGGGATGGGGGGTGCCAGGCTCGGAGCGATTCCGCTTCCCCAGCAGACCCTTAGCCTGCTGAAAGAGACATTGGCCAACCCCATCTCACCTGTGCCCATTTTACAGATAAGACCAACGTGGCCCCAGGAGAGGCAGAGGTGGGCTACGCAGAGGCCAAGCCACCAGCCTCCTTCCTCTCGGAGGTCTAGCCAGGAGGGCACACCCCCCAGCACAAGGGGTGCCCCAGGAACCAGAGGGGCTATGGCCCCCTCTGCGTGGCGAAGAGAGGCGGGAATGAGAGGCTCCAGAGGAAACCGAGTCTTTGAAGAAGCTTGCCCACCCCAGTTTTCCCCCAAGACCTCCCAGTGACTATCTTCTAAGAGGCCCAGCGGAGGAGTGCACTTATGACCGACTCTGGGACCTTCCTTGTTCGTTGCCTGGAGCTCAGCGTCCTTAGCGGGCCCGGGGCAGTGGTGTCTGTGTGCGTGAGTGTCACGGTGCCGACCTCTCCCGACCGCCAGAAGCGAGGCCCCGGCCGTCGGACCCAGTGCTCAGGGGCCACTCCCCGCCCGGCGTCCCGGCGAGAGGACCGCTCAAGGTAGGGGCCAGGGCTTCTCAGTCCTGCGTGGACCTATGCCTCCTGCCGGACTCAAAGGAGCGCAAATAGGCGCCTGGGTCTGGGGGCCCTGGGAGTTCCTGGGGTCCTGCCACGCCCGGCCCAGAAGCGCACCGCATCCCCAGCCGCGCCTGCCAGTTTTCTTCTGCGAAAATTCCCTGAGGCTGCTCGGTTTTGCCCCCTCACCCCTCGGTGTGTCTGTCTCACTTTTCTCTACCGGTCGACTTCTCTTTTTGCTTCTCTGGACCGCTCTGCCTCGGCTTCTCACCCCCTCCCACGGTCGCCGCTGCGCCCTTCCCGGAGCGCTCTCCCGGCTCCAGCTTCACGCGCGTAACCGCAGCGTCAGCACATCCGGGCCTCGCTCATTTGATTTGGGTTTGTTTCTTAAATCGCGAAAATCCATTTCCCCCAAATGGGCGGGGGCCTCTCCGGGCTTGGGAGCGGTCGGCCTGCTGCCCCCTCCCCCACGGCGGTCCCCGAGGCCAGGCATTGATCCCCGCCTTACAGTACATCGCATTAGCCCTAATGGCTTAGCTGCTGCTTCAACTTCTTTTTCGTTAAAAGCCACCCCTCGGTCTTCACCCCTCCTCTGCCTCCTGTCCCCGAGCGCCCTGCACTCTCAGGACCCACTGGCCCGAGGAGACGCGGCTCCTGGAACTGGGGCCCGGGGCGCGGCACTGCGCTTGTAGACGACCCTGAGGGAGCACGCTTCTCTGGGCAGGGTCAGTGGCGCTAGGGTAGGGGAGGGAGGGGCGACGGCAGTTTGGGACCGTCTAGGACCTCGAGTCCTCTGTCGCGTAAAATGCAGGATTTAGACACGATCCAACCAGAAACGTCTAGTTGTCACTCGAACACCCAGACTCAGACCCAGGGCAGAACCGCGCAACGATCCGGAAGCAGGGAGACCCCTGCTTGCTCTCAGAGGGGCTCCAGGCTTCTGGGCTGCGGGTTCCACAGGCGGGGAGGGCGGGGGCCGCGGCCAGGGACAGGTTCAAGGTCAGCTGTCACTTCCGAGCGGAGCCGGCCCGGAACCCGCGCCCCACCGGCTGCGGAAACTCGGGGTGAGACCTGGGAGGCCCGGCACAGCGGGGAAGCCGCGGGGGAAGGGGGAAGGCGACGCAGCCCCGGACCCCGCCTCCGGCCTCCTACCTGGGGACGGAGCGCCACCGGCAAAAAAGAATGCCACTCGGGCGCCGCCGCCGCCAGACTCTCCGGGACTGAGGCTCCGACCCGGCGAAGCTGGCGGCCTGGAGGCAGCTGCCGCGGAGGAAGTGGGGACGGCGTCCAGCTTCACCTGCCCCCGACGCCACCTCGGCGGCTGCACTGTATTTAATGTCGCGAGGAAACCCTGCTCATTGTTTAAAAGATTCAGAAAATGCAAGCAATGAAAACAGGCATCCCAAGATCGACTCCTTGGAGATAGTCAGAGTTTCGGTTTGTTTTTGAGACAGGTTCCCCCGCGGTGTCGCCCAGGCTTCAGTGCGGTGGCGCGATCGGGGGCTCACTGCAGCCTCCGTTTCCCGGGATCAAGTGATCCTCCGTCTCAGGCTCCGAGTAGCTGGGACTTCAGCCGCGCACAACCACACCCGGCCAATTTTAATATCTTTGTAGGGAAGGGTGTTCTATGTTGCACAAGCTTGTCTTGAACTCCTAAACTCAGGTAGTCCTTGTCGCTCAACCTCCCAAAGTGTTGGGGTTACAGGCTTGAGTCACTGTGCCTACCAGAGTTTTTGATAAAGTTTTTTCCCCCATGTCTGCTGTCCGATGGAGGGAGTAGTCCCCCAGGGACCCCACCATGACGCATGTATATTTTAAACAGGCAATGAATGCATCATGCATCACCAAGGCGCGAAATAACAACGGATGAGCAGGTAGCCGGTGGAAAGGCTCCCTCCCCTCCTTAAAAATGAGAGGTGAATGTACTTAGGGAGAAAAGCACAGATTTAAGAGAACAATCAGAGGAATTTTGATAAATGTACACACTTGTGTAGTCCCACCCGAATCCCCCATATTTTTCAGCAAGAAAAATGTCTACAAAGACGCCTAAACGGTTTAAATTCAGAGAGACCTAGCGCCTCCTTCTTTCTCCCCTTCCCCGCCCCACCCCTTCTCCTCCGCCTCGTTTTCCTTTGTACCCGAGCTATGAACACAATTTAAAATGTCCTCCACTTCTACAAAGAGCATAGACCAGGACCAGGGAAGATCCCCTCCCCACCCCCACCACAGGACACAGCTGTCAACCCCGCCGGCTCTTTCCGCTCCTACCCGCCTCTATATTTCTAAATAAGATACTGCTGCCACAATTGCTGGCTTTCATTTTTTTCCGTCTGTTTTTTCTTTTTTGAGAGGAATCTATCCACTCCCTGTGGCCTGTCTGGAAGGCGGGACGTTCACCTGCTGTCTTGCTGCTCAGAAGCGCTCAGGGCCCTTCCCTCCCTCCCTCCCTTGGACTGAGCTGAGATGGGTCCCAGCGCTCACAGCCGCTCCGGCGAACGCCCTGCACAGCTGGGCGTGCACCAAGAGCACAGGTTTTTTCTATACTTGTGGCCTTTCCGCCCTTGGTTTTCTGTCATTCATCTGTCTGTCCCCAACTCCCCTCCACTGTGCTTCTGTCTGCTGGAGGAAGTAGACCCCCAGGGACCTCAACACATCGAGGGGGAAGGTAGAGGGCAGGCTGGCCCCGCAGGAACCTCCTATTTCCAGTTCCCCCATCCCACTTTCAGAGACCAAGTCCAGAGGCGTCTGCAGGTCAGCAGGCCGAGTGGCCCTCACTCCCAGCCCCTACACTCCCCAGGCCCTCCCCACCCCCACGTGCACCTCCTCAGCCGCCATCCTGCTGTGGGCGACCTTTCCAAAGACACTTGAGCCTTTCTCTGCAACTTCTGGGTCATATTTCACTCCCGGTTCGCACCTGGGAGGGCAGATACATTCCTGAACGGAGGTTCTGAGGGTCCTGGAGGGTGAATCCTTGTCCAGCCTCCAGGGAGGCCCTCACTGAATGAGGAGCCGGGCAGACTCATCTGCATGGAGTTTATAGGAAGGGAGTCCAGATGCTGGGGGAAGCCTATAGTGAGGTGCCACCGTGGCTCCTGTCCTCAGCTGAGGGATGGGTGCCTGCCGGTGTCTCCTGTGTGGTGGCGACTGCACTTAGCAGGACACATGTGTTTCATGCCTAAGAAAGACGTGAGGAAAGACATTGAGTGCATCTCATGTGCTAGGATTCCCACTGTTTGCTGAAATTGCTTTGCACACGTCTGTGTTTGCACATTTATTTTAGGATGTGGAATGTGTCCCTCACTGTGATTATGACCGAAAACAGCGTGAAGGGTGCGGATGATGCTGGGATTACTGCTGTTACCTTAGACTTCATCGTTTGAATGTTTTCCTTCATACTGATCTCGGGAATGAGGGTTCTCCCAAGAAAGACACTCAGTAGAACAGTTAGAGAGACAGACAGGAAGTGCACATGCAATTTAAAGAAATGGACCCCACGATCGTGAGGTCTGGCAAGCCCAAATCGTGTAGTGCGGGTCGGCAGGCTGGGAGTTCAGGCCGGAGCTGAGGCGGCGCTTCTGAGGACAAATTCCACAGAGAGCAGGCTGGCAGCCCAGGTGGGGTTCGTGTGGCAGCCTGGAAGGGAATTCCTGCTGCTTTAGGGAGCCTCAGTGTTTGCTCCACAGGCCTTCCACTGATGGGGTGAGGCCCACCATCCAGTGGCCAGTTATCTGCTTTCCTCGAAGTCCACTGATATTAATCCCACCATTTATAAATCCCAACATTTAGACTGCAGTTTGACAAACAGCTGGGCACCGCAGCCCGGCTAAGTGGCACACGGCATGACCACCGCAAGTGTCGGCGCCGCTGTGTGGTGTTTAACAACCCTCCTTGACATAAGCACACAGGAATGTCCCTGCAGTGATATTTTCGCTGGCATTATGGACAATGTGTACCTTGATTTGAGCTGCCTCTGTGAGCCTGAGGCTCTTCATCCCACTGAGGTGGACTGGCACTGGCCTGTGTGGGGCACGGGTCGTGTTGGGGGATGGAGCCCAGCCCTGGGCACAGCTGTTAGCCTCAGGGCTGGCTGACAGCCCTTGAGCACTTCTCTGGAGGTGTAGCAGGATCTGCCAGCCCCCCACTGCCAGGCTGCCAGCTCCTAGAGGACGGGAACCTGTGCCCTCCCGTCAGGCCTCCAGGACCCACTCGAAGCAGGGTAAGACAGGGAGAAGTGGTGGGGGGGCACAGGCAGCTGTTTCTCCCACCACACGGAGATCAGCAGGAGGGGACGGCAGGGTCGGCTCAGGGCACACACTTCCTCTCAGGCTGGTTCAAGTTATAAATGCAAAATCAAAAAGCTTTATAAAAAGACTAAAAACACTCATAAGTTTTTATCTGATCTCAGGGTGTGGAAAGGGAGATCCATTCTCCCCTTTTTCCTTTTGCTTATTGAACCCTTCTGAATTTCAGCTGGGCACTTAGCTAAAGACTACATTTCCCAGCCTCCCTTGCATCTCAGCCTGGCCACATGATGAGGTTCTGACTGCTGTGCCTTAGATGTGCAGTGCGCAATGTCTGGATAGATCTTTCTCTTATCAGGAGGTTGGGTGACCCTCAATGCCTTTCCCTCTCCTTCCTGGCTGCCTGGAATAGGGCTGTGATGGTCAGATGAGGACAATTTACTTAAAGCAAAGCAGAGCCTCGGATAGAAGGAGCCAGGTCCCTGGTAGCCTGGCACAGAGCCGTCCTATCCCCTGAATGGTTTACCAGCTCGATTCATTTATTTGTTGTGAGAAACAAATACAACCTTCTGTCTTGTGTAAGCTACTGTGACTTGGCTTTTATTTAAGAAACAGAGTTGGCTGGGAGCGGTGTCTTACGCCTGTGATCCCAGCACTTAGGGAGGCCGAGGCGGGTGGATCACCAGGTCAGGAGATAAAGACCATCCTGGCCAACATGGTGAAGCTCTTTCTCTACTAGAAGTACAAAAAAAATTAGCCAGCCGTGTTGGCGTGTGCCTGTAGTCCCAGCTACTCAGGAGGCTGAGACAGGAGAATTGTTTGAACCTGGAAGGGGGAGGTTGCATGTCCGCACGTGGCTTAACCACCACAAGTGTCCAGGGCCTCCATGTGACAAGATTGCATCATTGCCTGGGCGACAGAGTGAGACTGTTTCAACAAAATGAAATAGAGTCAACACCCTAACTAATATAGGAGGCCTTTCTAGATTGGGCCAGTTAGAATCTGTGTTTGGCTGCTGACAGAGCACTGACGGCAGGTGTGGCCAGGGACCCACAGAATCCTTCTCTCTTGCCTTTTTTTTTGACCATCTTTAGTGAAGGTTTCATCCTCCAGGTCACAGAATGGCTGCCGAAGCACCAGCCCTCGAATTCCTGTTCTATTCAGGAATAAAAGGAAGGGCAAGAGACAAAGCTGTGGCTTCCTGTCAGCTTTTAGAGATGGCCCTGAAGCCTCTTTCACTGACTTCTGCTTTCATCTCTCTGGCTACCCCTGTCTTCAAAAATTCGTTGCTAAAGCAGAGGGGACAGTATTTATTGGGAGGCAACTTGGAAGCCCTGCACAGGGGGGAACATTCACAAGAGAATGATGTCAGCTTTGGCCACTAAGCACCAAAGCCAGGACTTGTAAAGCCCTTCCTCTGGAACCAGTGCCCTGGGTCTTCCCCAGCCCCGGAGGCTGACTCCTGGTCTCCCGTGAACTCAGACACAGGGGGCGGGGTGCGTCCAGTCCCCCACACCCAGGCCCATGCGTGCAGCCTCCTGTGAGGCAGCAGGTGCAGAGCAGGGAGCCCCGGCGTCGGAGTCAGGCAGAGGGAGTCCCAGCCCCTGCTCTCTGGCTCTGTGGCTTTGGGCAAGGCTCCCGGCCTCTCTGAGCTGCCACTTCCTCATCTGTTTTAGGTGCTCAAAAAATGATAGCCAAGGTCGTTACAGCTGCTCCGTGGCAAAGTGCAGTGGGGCAGACGCCACCCTGCAGCCGCGTTCACTGGATGTCTGCCTGGCTGGCTGAGCCCACCTGTTATTTTTATTACAAACTGCCGCTCAATCGGCTTCACCCAAGACCTGTTACCCAAAATAATGTGAGTGATTGCCCAGTGAATGCAGGGTCAGTACTCATGATGCCCTCCTTGCCCACAGCCCCTGAGAGCCAGGGCCGGGCTTGGAGAAGTCAGGAGAGGCGGAGGCCTGGAGCACGCCCGCTGAGGTGTCTGGGAGGAGAGGGCTGCCGGCCTGGGAGCCAGCTGGGCCCTTGCGGTTTGTGTTAGTGCCTCCTTGACACAGGGCACAGGCCCGAGGACCTCTTGTATCTGCCTGCAGCTGTTGCCAGCCTGCTGCTGGCCACAGGGCATGAGCCCAGGAAGGTGGGTCCCCACAGGGCATGGGCCTGGGCCGCTGGTGGGAATGACGGTCTTTTCCTGATGTCAGGGAGGCCACCCCACGGGGAAGCAGGAGGGAGAGTCCTTGGACTTGGGGGTTGGCGTTCAGGCTCCTGTTTTATGATGGACAAATGGAGGTCCCGAGAGGCCCAGAGCCTGGCCCAAAGGCGCACGGCAGATTCACGCCTGAGATGAGTGCAGGTCCCAGGCCTCCTGTCTCCCTTCCAGGGCATCCTGGCCTGAGGTCTGCAGAGCCTTCGGCGATCCGTGAGTGGGCCTCAGGGGTCCCGTGTCCCACTGGCGTGTCTGCCTGTTCTGGTGTGTGCCACGCCTCAGGGGTCCCGTGTCCCACTGACGTGTCTGCCTGTTCTGGTGTGTGCCACGTCTCAGGGGTCCCGTGTCCCACTGGCGTGTCTGCCTGTTCTGGTGTGTGCCACGCCTCAGGGGTCCCGTGTCCCACTGGCGTGTCTGCCTGTTCTGGTGTGTGCCACGTCTCAGGGGTCCCGTGTCCCACTGGCGTGTCTGCCTGTTCTGGTGTGTGCCACGTCTCAGGGGTCCCGTGTCCCACTGGCGTGTCTGCCTGTTCTGGTGTGTGCCACGTCTCAGGGGTCCCGTGTCCCACTGACGTGTCTGCCTGTTCTGGTGTGTGCCACGTCTCAGGGGTCCCGTGTCCCACTGGCGTGTCTGCCTGTTCTGGTGTGTGCCACGCCTCAGGGGTCCGGTGTCCCACTGACGTGTCTGCCTGTTCTGGTGTGTGCCACGCCTCAGGGGTCCGGTGTCCCACTGGCGTGTCTGCCTGTTCTGGTGTGTGCCACGCCTCAGGGGTCCGGTGTCCCACTGACGTGTCTGCCTGTTCTGGTGTGTGCCACGCCTCAGGGGTCCCGTGTCCCACTGACGTGTCTGCCTGTTCTGGTGTGTGCCGTGCCTCAGGGGTCCCGTGTCCCACTGGCGTGTCTGCCTGTTCTGGTGTGTGCCGCGCCTTCGGCTCTTGGTTTCTCTGGGCCTCCTGCTCCCTCAGCCCCACAGCCTCCCTCAGCCCGCCCATGTGCCGGAGACACCTGGAGGAGCCGCTCACATGGCAGGCCTGGCACCCAAGGGTACACAGGGAGAGTCCGTGCACTTAATGAGTGAAAGGAGACAGGGTGCTGGCTGGGGATAGGTAAGGAGTGGACGGGCGGCCCATCCGGGGCACAGAGTGCTGGGAAGCAGGCGGGGTGCCCAGCAGCCCCCGCCCAGGTTGTCCAATGAATGCAGGGTCAGTACTCATCCCACAGACCCTCGGAGCCGGGGCCGGGTGTGGCGGGGTCAGGAGAGGGCCATGGATGGCATCCGAGCTTACAAGGTGCACCACCAGTGACACACCATGAGTCCTCCCAGGAGTGCTGTGCTGACCTCCTTCGCTTCTCAGCTGCCGCTTGGGGCGTGTTGCACACAGGGGAGTTGTGGAGGGAAGCTGCAGGAATGCCCACCTCTGCGTCCTGTTGAGGGTCTGGGTCTCTCTCAAGCTGGATCTAGGCTGAGCACAGGCCGTGGGAAAGAAAGCCTGAGATGGGAGGGGGGCCATTCACAGGTCTTCCGTTCTGCCCCGAAGACCCAACCCTCTTCACCTCCCACCGTGTCCTTCCACATTGTAAGGGCCCCAGACCAAAGGGGCCACACAGGCGTGGGTCAGACACGCGGGGCCTGGTCCCCCTGCTCAATAATGTTGGCTCCTCTGACAGCTGGGGAAGGTGCTCCAAGCCTCTGTGTTCATGTTTGCAAATGGCAATGCCCGTTCAGAATTCCAGAGGCCTGCAGAGTTCCCGCCAGAGCCTGGCTTTGGGCACATGGGCGCCCAGCAGTGGATTCCAGGGTCCCTGCCCTTGGGGAGCCCAGTCTGGCCAAGGAGGCAGCTGTGTCTGGAGAGGCAGTGTGCCCTGTAGGGCACCCAGCACCTGTGGGCACCATCCTGGGGACCAGGATTCCAGACAACGCTGGCCGCAACCCAGTCCCAGCCGCTCAGGAGCCTGAGTCCGCAGGAGAGATGGCGGATCCAGACCAGGAGCGGAGAAAAAGTCACAGGGCTGGGTGAGTGGAGCAGTGACGCCCCCCGCGGGGCGGGGCGGGGCAGGCGCCGACACTGGGGTTGCAGGGACGCGGAGGGGCAGGCAGCCGGGAGAATATTCTGGACCGAAGGGATGGCACAAACAAAGGTGGGAGGTGGGATGGGGTGTGGTGGAGGCCGTTGTAGGTGAGTCATGTGTTGTGGGCAAGGTGCCGATGCTGTGGGAGCCTGAGAAGCCTGGACTCCAGGGAGCTGGCCAGGGAGGGCAGCAGCGGCCAGGTCTGGAGGAGGGTGCAGCCTCTACCCCTGCCAGGAGCCTGGACTTAATTCTGCAGCCCAAGGTCAGGGGAGGGGGCAGTTCTTGGAAGGGCCACAGTGGGCTTCAGCAGGCCCAGTGGAGACTGAGGCGGTGGGGACCGGGACGTGCGGATGGAGACAGCACCTCCACCAGAAGGGGAAGGGGCAGAGCCAACCACCCAGGGTGGTGCCTGGGACCCCACACTGCAGAGATTCCCTGTAGGCAGGTGGGCACAGGTAGAGGTCGGCTCTGAGGGATAGGGATGTGAGTGTGAGGGTCGGGCGAGTGTGGGGCTGAGCTTGGGGCTCCTGGGCACCCAGCCTGCTTCCCAGCGCTCTGCGACCTGGGTGGGCCACTCTTCCACTCTTTACCTATCCCCAGCCAGCACCCTGTCTCCTTTTACTCATTAAGTCCACAGACTCTCCCCATGTACTCTGGGGTGCCAGGCCTGCCATATGAGAGGCTCCTCCAGGTGTCTCCGGCACATGGGCGGACTGAGGGAGGCTGTGGGGCTGAGGGAGCAGGAGGCCCAGAGAAATCAAGAACCGCAGGGCTCGGCACACACCCATGGCCACTCCCTTTGTCACCTGCCCATGGTGTCCTTTCCATCCAGCCCCCCTGACAGGAAGCAAGGGCAGAGAACCCTCATTGAGGGCTCCAGGCTGAGGGCGGAGTTAAGTGACATATGGCAGACCACACCGGATGCCAGGAGGTGCTGTTCCAGCTCAGAGACCTCCGGTGAGGGTCCCCATTTCCTCCTGTCCCACCCAGAAGGCCTCAGGGGCTTGGAGCAGAGTGAGGGGTCGTGATGAGAGGGAAAGACCCCACGTTGGGTCTGGGAGGTCCTGGGGCTGCCAGGGCCAGGTGCCTCAGGCAGAGGACTTGAGACAATGGAAACAATGGAAACATTTTCTCTTGCAGTTCTGGGGCCACAAGTCTGAGTCCCAGGCGTCAGCAGGGCTGTCCCCTCCAGAGGCTCTAGAGGAGAACCCTTCCTGCCCCGCTCCAGCTTCTGATGGCAGCCGGCAGCCTGTGGCTTGCGGTCACACGGTACCAGCCGACTGCCCGACTTCCCCTTGTCTTCACACTGCCCTCCCCTAGTGAGTCTGTGTCCAGAGTTCCCTTTGTGCTCAGCCCGCTCTGCTTGGGGCAGCTTCCAGCCTGCTGTTCAGCTGGCCTTCTACCTCAGGAAGGCCCTGTTTCCAAGTAAGCTCCCATTCCGAGGTACTGCCAGCCAGCACCTCCCCATGCACATTTTGGGAGGAGGCAGTTCTGCCCAAGCAGCTGCCATGACTGTGCCTGTCCCACAGCCTCATGAGAAGGCTTCATCCCATGCTTCATACCCCCATTTCACAGACGGGAGAATCAAGGCTCTGAGAGAAGACGTCCACGATGGAGCAGCAGGCAGGGCGAGGAGGGGACCCCCTCAGCCGGGCCTCCACCCCTTGATGCTGCCGTCTGTCCAGGGAGGAGGAATTTCTCCTGCCGTGTGCTGGGTAGGAGACCCCTGCTGGGTATGGCCCACCTTTCACAGAGGGAGGATTTTTCTCTTTGTAGTTGTAAGTTTCCTGCTCTTCACCAAGAAGGTGAGACTTTGGGGACTGTGCACCTTCCCTCGGGCCCAGCCTGTGGTCTTCACCAACCAGGAGAAACCCTTCTGATGTCTCCTGGCTGCTTGCCCTGGGGTCACTTCTGGCCAGGTTGGATGTCAGGCCTGTCGGTGTCTTGCTTGGTTCTAGTGGCCTGCAGACCTGTGTCCCTGCAGGGTATATCTGAAAAAGGGGGACTGGGGAGCCTGGTCTAAATTGATCCAGAGCATCTGGCACCTCCAAGACTTCCCGAAGCAAGTGCCAAGTTACGGGTCCAGCTCCATCCACATGCTGTGTGACCCGGGCAACTCACTTGCCTTCTCTGGCCTCAGGTTTCCTGTTTGTAAAACAAGGGGGTTGAACTAGGGCATTCCAAGTACTCCGCCCAGATAAGTAAAAAACAATCATAAACTTTCCACAAACTCTTTATTTCCATTTTATCAAAATATCCTGGGCTTTAAGGCAACACCGTCCAATAGAAAATACGGCGGCAAACCACAGATGTGATTTAAATCTTCTGGTAGCTACAGTAAAGGAGAAGAAACAGGTGCGAATAACTGAATCATAATTCCGTCCAGCATGTTCACGATTCTTGCCATTTCAGTACGCAAGCAACAGAGAGACACCCAGACGCCGTCCTGAGGGCGGGCGGGCCTGAAGGCGCTTCGGCCACCTCGGCCAGACTCGAGAAAATATTTGCGATGCTTTTTTGGAGATGACAAAGGTGCGTTTTTACTCCCAGCACATCTCAATTCAGATGCCAAAGTCGTATTGGAAATAGTTGATCTGAGTTTAGCTGTCATAACACTCAGAGTTGAAAAAGCAGATTCTCAGACCCAGGTTGTTCCAAACATACTTCAGTGTTGTCCGATAACCAAACTGAGTGTCGGGTTTTAGATTCAAACTTCGGTTCGCTGAGCTCAGATGTCACCCTGGACCTGGCGCGCCAGGGAGTCAGAGCCTGTTCCAGTTACCGTAAAGCCTGGAGTATAGGGGGCTCATTGATTTCAGGTCCACTTAATCCACTCCCTGGCAGGACAGGTCCTCTCCAGAGCCACTCCAGCCTCTGCCGAGGTTCTTCCTATCCTTCCCATTCCCCTGTTTCGTTATTCTTGTGTCCAGAAAGCAATTACAGAGCACCAACTGTATGCAGGATGTAACCAAGGAGGCTATATAGGCAGGACAGACCTCGTATCCTGGAAAGACCACAGTTCCAGGTTTGAATCTGGACACTGCCAGCCCCACGGGAGACTGTACCCACATCTGTGACCTGGAAGCCTTCGGCTCTGAGCAGAAGCATCTCTGTTGGGGACAGAGGAGGGCAGTGTTCACGTGACCAGTGTCTGACCCGCCTGCTCTCAGGACTGGCATTGTGCTGGGCCAGCACTTTCCGAGGAGCAGGGCTCAGTGGCTTCGTCTGCTGGTCACATCCCATCACAGAAATAGCTCTGTGCAGATGTGCCTCTCCCGTGAACAGCATTCCTCGAACCACGTTCCCCAGAAGCATCATGTTCCTCTTGGTCTGAACCGGGGATTCTCAGGTCAAAGATATTCTTGGGAGACATCAGATCAAATGAAGCTCAGTGGCTTTTTAAAACTTAATTTATTTAAAAAAAGTTTTAAAGACAGAGTCTTGCTTCGCTGCTCAGGCTGGACTGGAGCTCCTGGGATCAATCCTTCCGCCTCAGCCTCCTGAGTAGCTGATTACAGGCGTGCTCCCCGCACCTGGCTCAATGGCTTTCTACTTTTATTTGCAGACCTTCTCGGAGCCCTTGATGTGGCGATGCACATGGCAGGGAATTCCCACTTCGCCAGTGTCAGCAGCCCTGGGCCTGCACTTTGAGACAGGAGCTGAGTCATACTCATTCTTGTGTCCCATGTCACTTTTGCACACAGGGAACCCCTAGCTGACACCCTGCCCTCAGGACCCTGCCCTCAGGGTGCCTGGCAGTGGCTGCTGATTAAAACATGGGCTAAAAGAAGCACTAAAACAACAGCATGCTGGAGCTCAGGGAAGGCCAATTATTTTCAGTCAGAGGATCCAGGAAGACTGCCTGTAGGAGGAGACATTGGAACTGAGCATGAAGGATGGGCCTACAGAGACCAGGTTAAGGGGTTCTTGGTACATGAAACGGGTGTTCACAGACCCAGGAGGAGCTCTGTGTATGGTTCGATGCTCGATGGGGTGAGGGGTGAGAGGTTTGGAGTGTGGGGTGTGGGTAGGGGGCGTGAGAGGTGGAAGAGGGTGGGGCCTGCTCAGGACTCAGGGACTGCAAGTGGCACCTTGCCTGTGGTCAGTGCTACTGGCCCCAGGACCACTGCATTGGAATCCCAGGGGAGCATGTTCCACCAGGGCTCCCCAGCCTGGTCCTGCTGCGCCAGTTTCTGGGAGTGGGAACCCCCATGTTGACAAGTTCTCAGGGGGAGTCCTGGGTCCCTGTAATTTGAAGACCACTCTGTGAGCCAGCTTTGGGTGTTGAGCCATGTGACAGGCAGCAGAGCATTCAGGATCAGCTGACACCTCGTGAAGACATGACCAGTGCTCCCAGTACCTGGTTTTTCTCCCTTCCAGGCACACAGAGGATGACACCTCAGCCCCTGCAGTGCAGGGAGCAGGAGGTGACCGCGCTGATAACACGGTGGAGTCTTCCTCAGCCTGGATCTCCGAGTGACCACATGGGGCACGCAGTGTGAGCAAGAAATAAACCGAGTGTGCTAACCCACCTGGATTGTGTTTGTTGCTGTTGTGTAACTTAGCCTATGCTGATGAATCCCTTTCAAATGGGGAGTTTAACCCAGCGGACACATTGTTAAGTGTTGTGGACACAGATTTTGAGCACTTAAAATAACTCACATTCCCCTCCCTTTTCCCCCCTCTCTCCTTACCCCTCCCTCCCTCTGGGGTGGCAGCTAGCCTCTCTACCCTCTTTGTGGAAATTAGGAAAAGGTTTGTCATCCAAGCAGAGGCAGTTTGGGGCTGCTCAGCTTGATGAGCAGTGAGCGGAGAGTGAGCTAAATTTCAGCCTGACGCTCTGCCTTGGCTGGGCACTTTTGAGCAGTGCACAACCTACACAGCAGTCCAGAGTGACCCAGCCATTTATCCATCCCTAAACTGGGTATAGAGTGAGTACCAGGCCTTGAGTTGGGCTCTGCAGGTTCAGAGAGAATAGAATGCTCTGTGTGCCTCAAGGAACTCACTCTGGTGGGAGCAGACAGGATGCAGAAATGCCCTCATTCTAGCCATATCTAATTTTAGAGCATTTTATTTCTTTCTTTTTTTTTTTTGAGACTGAGTATCGCTCGCTCTGTCACCCAGGCTGGAATGTAGTGTTGCAATCTAGGCTTGCTGCAACCTCCACCTCCCAGGCTCAAGTGATTCTCCTGCCTCAGCCTCCTAAGTAGCTGGAATTACAGGCATCTGCTGGCAGCCCGGCTAATATTTTGTCTGTAAAGACAGGGTTTAACCATGTTGGCCAGGCTGGTCTCAAACACCTGACCTCAAGTGATCTGCCCACCTTGGCCTCCCAAAGTGCTGGGATGAGAGGCATGAGCCACTGCACCTGGCCTCTTTTTTTTTTTTTTTCTTCTTTGAGACAGGGTCTTGCTCTGTCACCAGGCTGGAGTGCAGTGATGTGATCTCGGCTCACTGCAGCCTTGACCTCCTGGGCTCAAGCAATTCTCTCGAGTACCTGGGGCTGCCTCCTGAGTAACTGGGACTACAGGCACACACCACTATGCTCAGCTAATTTTGTTTATTTTTTGTAGAGAAGGGGGTCTCACTATGTTGACCGGGCTGGTCATGAACTCCTGGGCTCAAGAAGTCCTCCCACTCAGATTCCCAAAGTGGTGTAATTACAGGCATGAGCCACTGCACTGGGATTAGAAGACTTTCATTACCCACCCAAAGAAACCCCACACCCTTTAGCAGTCCCTCCCCCTTTCTCCCTGCTCCCAGCCAGGGCAAACCCTAATCTACTTCTGTCTATGGATTTGCCTTTTCGGGACATGTATGGAAATGGAGTCATGCCTGTGGTCTTTGTTCTTGGTTTCTGTCACTTGTTTTCATGTATGTAACAGCATTTCATCCCTTTCTCTGGCCAAATAATATTTTGCCGCGTGGATACACCTCCTCGTCCATTTGTCAGTGGATGGACGTTGGGTCACTTCCACTGATTATTAGTGACGCTGCCCTGCACACACACGTGCACCTTTTCATGCTGGGTGTGTTCTGAGTGCCGCTGGGCAGACACCCAGGAGCAGAATCACTGGCTCATGTCATGACTGTTTCTGAGGAGCTGCCTGACTATTTTCCAGAACGGCGGCACCATTCCACCTTCCGCAGTGCGTGCGGGTCTCCATCCCTCCGCGTCTTCGCTGGCATTTGTCATTATCTCCCATTTCTTTACTCCAGCCGCGGCAGTGGGTGTGAAGTGGTATTTAACTGCGCTTCCATTTGCATTTCCCTCATGACTAATGACACTGAGTATCTTTCTATCCATGTATCTGCCATTTTTATATCCTTTTGGAGACATGTCTATTTGAACCCTTGGGCTACTTTTAAATTGGGCTATTTGTCTTCTTATTGTTGGGTTGTCAGAGTTCTTTATATATTCTGGATACAGGTTCTGAATGGCATATATGTGTTGCAAATATTTTCTCCTATTCTTTGCTTCATCTTTTTACTTTTTTGGTGGAGTTCTTGGAAGTAAAAAGCTTTGCACAAATTTACATTAATTTTCAGGTAATTAATAACAATGGTGACTGTCTTGTGCCAGAGTAGTGTATGTATTGACCCATTTAAGCCACACACCAACCCATGATGTCAGGACTCCCATCGTCCCCAGGCCATACTTGAGGAAACAGAGGAATGGAGAGATCACGTCAGAGGCTCCAGACAGTGAAGCTAGTACAGACAGAGGCAGGGCCCGGGCCTGGCATCTGGGTCCAAGCTCTAGCCCTTCACCACCACGCCGTCAGGCTCTGCGCTGAAGCCTCCACCATTAGAGGAGCCAGAAAAGTGGGCTTGTGGGGTTGTGCCAGGAAGCACGATTGCCTCTTTCTTACAAGCATCTTCAAGGGGATCTTCAAGGGAGGGAGGATTCTCTCCCAGGAGTGGGGCATAGAGATGGGCTCCCAGGCTCTCAGCAGACAGTGATGTCACTGGGCCTCCCTACATCCTGGCTACTCATGTATGGTTCTCAGTCCCTCATTAAAGAGGCCATCTGCCCCATCACCATCATCTCTACCACATAGTCATCACCATCATCATCATCATCACCACCATTACCACCACTATCATCACCACCATCACATCACCATCATCACCACCACCATTATCACCATCACCATCATCACTATCAACACCATGACCACCACATCACCATCATCACCACCCACACCATCACCATCATCAGCACTACCACATCACCATCACCAGCACCAACACCATCACCACCACATCACCATCATCACCACCAACACCATCACCATCATCACCACCAATATCACCATCACCACTGTCATCACCATCATCATCACCACCACATCACCGTCATCACCACCACCACCATCATCACCACCACCAATATCACCATCACCACTGTAATCACCACATCACCATCATCACCACCAACACCATCACCATCATCACCACCAATATCACCATCACCATTGTCATCACCATCATCATCACCACCACATCACCATCATCACCACCACATCACCATTATCACCACATCACAGTCATCACCAACACCACCAACACCATCACCGTCATTGGCACCAACACCATCACCACCACATCACAATCATCACCACCACATCACTGTAATCACCACCACCACCACCACCATCATCACCACCACCAATATCACCATCACCACTGTCATCCACCATCATCATCACCACCACATCACCATCATCACCACCATTATCACCATCACCATCATCACTGTCAACACCATGACCACCACATCACCATCATCACCACCAACACCATCACCATCATCACCACCAACACCATCACCACCACATCACAATCATCGCCACCACATCACCATCATCACCACCAACACCATCACTATCATCACCGCCAACATCATCACCATCACCACCAACCCCATCACTATTATCACCGCCAACATCATCACCATCACCACCACATCACCATCATCACCACCACCAATATCACCATCACCACTGTCATCACCATCATCATCACCACTGCCACATCACCATCATTACCACCATCATCACCACCATCACCACCACATGACCACCATCACCACATCATCATCATCACCACCAACACCATCACCACCACCACCACTACATCACCATCATCACGACCAACACTATCACCACCACATCACCATCATCACCACAACATCACCATTACCACCACATCACCAGCATCGCCACCACCACCATTATCACCATCACCATCATCACCATCATCACCACCGACACCATCACGATCATCACCACCATTATCTCCATCACCACTGTCATCACCATCATCATCACCACCATCACCATCACCACCAACATCATTACCACCACATCACCATCATCACCATCATCACCGCCACATCACCATCATCACTACCACATCACCACCACATCACCATCATCACCACCACATCACCACCATCACTACCACATCACTATCATCACCACCACATCACAAGCATCACCACCACATCACAATCACCACCACACCACCATCACCACCACATCACCATCATCACCAACACCATCACCACCACATCACCACCATCACCACATCACTATCACCACCACATCACCATCATTACCACCACATCACAGTCATCACCACCATATCACCATCATCACCACCACATCACCACTATGACCACCACATCACAGTCATCACCATCACATCACCATCATCACCAACACATCACCATCACCATCATCACCACCACATCACCATCACCATCATCACCACCACATCACCACCATCACCACCACATCACAGTCATCACCACCACATCACAGTCATCACCACCACATCACAATCATCACCACCACACCACCATCATCACCACATCACCATCATCACCAACACCATCACCACCACATCACCACCATCACCACCACATCACAGTCATCACCACCACATCACAGTCATCACCACCACATCACAGTCATCACCACCACATCACCA